GGCCTCATGTTTTTGCATTTGACGCATCGTTGCCATGTCCTGCCACAATAAAGCGGAAGTTCTGTTTCAAGGCATGCCTGTCACCGCCTGTCCATGTGCAAAACCCGCAAATCTGTTTAGCTACCGGCTCGCATGTGCAAGTGTGAACCGTTGCCGCGACATCGGCTGCGAATCTTGTTGACATGTTCACACCCGCTCAAGTCCTTGTCTGCCCGGGCTGACTCGATGGCCATATTGCAGAAAACACCAGTCACCTGAGCACGACTAACTAATTTTGTTCCGGTGCCAACAGCCCCCACATGGACAGGACACCTCATAAACACTCGTTTCGAAAGGAGGGGCAACCATCTGACATGAGTGCAGTAGTGCGGCCTACAGCAAGAAGCAAAAGGCAACACTAGACAACTCATGTCCTCATCCAACCTGGAAAGCAACCAAGCCACGAGACAACCAACAACGGCCTCTACTCATATACACCAGACACGGACCCGAGCACAAGTAACTATCAACAAAAATTGACAAAAAATAAATAACTAGTTTTGGTCTGGTGCCGCAACATGACACAGTGTGAGTCCTCTGAAAAAAAAACAACCACCTGGCTTGTGAGGAGACCGGTTGTAACCGATGGCATCTGTGCTGGTAGCCACCAAACCCAACATATGCAGGTTCGACCGTGTGCCGACAACCCCCAAATGGCAAGCTCATTGTCAGCACGTACGGGATCATGTACAATGTGTTGATCGCAACTTGATGCTGCTGCTTGCATTGGCAAAACCGCCGCAGCTGCAGAGCACTGCGGGGTCGGACTCGTCAACTTTCTTTACTTGTTTTCAGCACATCCGCCGACACAGTATTCAACGTTTTCCTTCCTGCCACAAAGGCAACGGCCAACTCCAACCCGCCCGCCCGCCCATTAGATGGATTCTGTCTGTGTTAGATTGTTATACATCTTCCAGCAGTTCGTGTACACGGGCTTGCCCGAGAGAGTCTTCGTTGACCATTGTCTCCGGGGGCCCCGGTGGTCCCCTGCTTTCTTGTAAGATCTTACGCCCTAAATCCTAAATTCTGCGTCCGAAATCCTTTGGTACAGGGGGTGCGCACACACACACATGTAGTGCCCGGTCTGAGCCGGTTAGCAACACTCTCTGATTTCCTTTTTTGATCATTGTCGTCATTGTCGTCGTCATGATTCTGAACATAAACTTAGAGCTATTAAATTGGGCCTGTCGGAACCGTTTTAATGAACTGCATCTGCCAGCGGCATGGAGATGCGACACAAGCTCTCATTTCTTCGTGATTACTATTACTGGTACTCCAGGCTGAAGATCTTTAAGTCGAGCGATGGTGAAGCTTTGCAGGTACACGGTTCCAGCGTCCCACAACCATATCAGCACACTCTGAAGAGCCTCTTTGTTAGATGCCCACTCTTCAGGTGCGGGGCGTCCCTCTGCATTTGAACTTTGCACGAATCTCATGCTCGTGGATCATTCAATTTAGACGATCATGCAACTTCAGCTAATGCAGAGAACTTGCAAAGACTTTCCAAAACTTCCTTAAGTACAGGTTTTGCACACACACACACACCACTGGACAAGCCGGTAAGGTTAAAAGTGATGAAGAAGAATCAGAAGAAGAGCTTTCCCATATGTACTGCCGCCGGATCGACAGCACAAGGAAGACCGCCAGCCACCCTATCCTTAGAGCCAGCTGACCATCATAGGCGCTGACACAAAGGCCAAGACCACAACAAGGACATTAGTGGGCTCGGCTCCACCTGTAGTCCCAAATGACACATGAATGTACTCCAACGTGGAGGTACCTTGGGATTGCCAGCCGAATCTCCTGCAGAGGCCATCAACCGGGACTGCGGGCCTGCTCCCCAGGAGAGGCGAATGCGGACATCTCCAGAAAATGTGATCGTGAGTGCCTAGCTCATCACACCACATACAATTCGTGGAGAAGCAACCACTGTCATCATGCTGAAACCAAGCGGGGGTGTCTGGCTCGAGGGCCACCGTACGAGCAGGAACATCAGAGGCAATGAGCCTCTCAATACTCTTCCAGCCTTTTCTAAGGCATTCTAAGGTTGGATGCAGGATCAACCCGTGCAAAAGAGGCAAGCTCATGTACTTTGACAAACCACCAGAAGCGCCAGCATTCCCGGAGGCAGTGCTGAACCATGTCCAGCCCCCTGCCTGTGTTGAGCTCCACGCGTGGTCCTCCTTCTCTGGTCCAGGTCCAAGTCTGAATTCCTGGAACCCTCGCAGCCTAAACACTTTATGGAGGATAGCGACTGGAGCTCCTGCCTTTGCGTTCCAGCGAGACTGTCCTTACTCCCGAAGTCTCCAGACAACCTGGAACAAGTTTGAAGCAGCAATGATGTCAAGGTGAAAGTTCCCGCCGAGGATCAATGCGCGCATCCATTTGTTGGCCATGCGCAGACGGCCTTGCCCATTTTTATGGTGGCTCAGAGTTTGCTCGAGGCAGTAACAGTGGGCATCCTAGCCAGCCATAGCCAGCCAACCATGGCAAGCCACACTGGTCGCAAATATTCTGGCATAACGCGCAAAGCAGTCATACCCCAGCTTCCGAGGCTGCCGAGCACCGTGAGCCTTTCGGTGGCCGTAGGCAGGCGTTCTTTTTCTGCTTTGTGGTCCGTGCGAGGCCTACTGCGGCTAGCCACGCCAAGCAACAACACATCAGGCCTAATCAGGCTGGGGTCAAAGTTGCAATCAATGCTGGCTTTCTATTAAGGCTGTTAGCAGCGACTTGAGCTTTGGACAAGCTCAAAAAGTCCAACTCTGGCACTCCAGGTTTCCCAACCTGGGATTTTGAGCCTCAGGCTGTCAACACTGCTGGCCGTAAAGGACCGGCTATCCATGAAAACAGAGGTGCAGCCATCCCGAGCAACCCAAGGAGGGGAGTTGGAGGTCACCCATCTGCAACCGGCCGACAGCCAGCGGACAAGATATCGGTGGTGCAGCAACGTGGCCTTGGAAGGACAACGAACGCTTATGATTTGACCACATGCGCCCTGCAAGTGCGGCGAATCCCTGGTGAAAGCCTGCATGCTGGAGCAACTGGACTGTGGCTTCCGGGCGGAGGGAGGCAGTCAAAGCACTTGGCGTAGTCGAGGCTACCAAGAAAGCCATCACGACTGTAACTGTCCAGGACTTTTGCCGCCAGCACCTGGGCATCGGAGCCGCAACCATAAGCAATGCCAGGGTGGATGACTTGGGCAGCCCAAGTTGGACACTCATCTCTTCGAAGCCACGCATCATGAGCACTCTCCACCAAATACTCAAGATCGTGATGGGTCTAGCATCGTCGGGCTTGAGCTGCAATCAAAGACGTTGTGGTCTTTGCTCGAAACACGCAGCGGGCATGACTGAGCGGCTTAGGCAACGCCTGAAGCCATCTTTCAACCAAAGCACGGAACCACTCCCACACAGGAAAAGGCAAGTGTCTGGTATCGTTCGCAGCCCAACCATTTAGCATTGTGAACAACTGGTTTTGCCAATTCCAGCTGCTTTACATAATTTGTCTGTTGAAAGCTGCGCGACTTCGTGAAAACACCGCACAAGCAAAAGGATCCAATGGTCAGGTTTCCAACATTGCATTTAAGCATGAAGTGGCATGAAGCAATCTGGCGGACCTCAACCCAGCGCCAGTCCACCCGAGGATATCTAGCTCTAGCCACAACCAGTCCCGCAAGGCACTGTGAGCCTGGATGTGCTAGCGAAAGCTTGAGCTGGAAACCCTGTGTCAGAAGAGTAGTAGCAGGGCAATATCGAGGTACCACGTACATCCCGAACAGAACTGCTCGGCGTGTCTGCTCGGCTGCATTATAAGCTCCTCATAGATCCCGGTGCTGTGTCACTCTGACGATAATGTGCGAGCCAGTATGCAACCGTTCGACGTCAACGTGCATATTACCTGATAGGTTTTATGACCTGTGTTGACTTTGTTGCATGCACCCAAGCTTCTTATTTGTCGGAGCAACCTTGACCACCTGCCCTTCGTCGTAGCGCAGAACACAAACAGACATGCACTTTAAGATAGACTGCTTAGGGCGACTGCCGATGCTCGCTTTCTTTCTTTGTCTTTCTTTAGTTTTTCTCTCTCTCAATGAGCCCCCAAGGGGAGACCTCTCTCTATCATCTTCCACACAGCCAAAGGAAGAGCAGTCGCTCCCCCCCGCACGCAAGCGCGCACTCTCTCTCTATCTCTCTCTCTCTCTCTCTCTCCTCTCTTTCCCAGGGTATAAGGGGCGTCTCTCTCTCTCTCTCACTCTCTCTCTCTCTCTCTCTCTCTCTCTATGGCCTATGGCGGCGCTCGACGGTGCATCCTTCAAGCTGAGCGCGTGGCATCTCAAATGCCGATGCACAGACACAAACAAACAATCAAACAAACAAACATACATGCATGCATACATACATACATACACACACACCCACACACGTAAGCACACATAAACACACTGACGCACATAAACACACACCCACACACACACACATAAACACACTGACAGACAAACACGCAGGCAAGCAGCCACACAGAAAACCAAATCAAACACAGGACAATAGAGACGTGCAAACACAAACACACACACACACACGCACACGCACACAAACAAACACAGATGCACACAAGCACACAGACAAATACATACCCCCCCCTTCTCAGAAAAGTTTGTCAGTCTTTGTCTCTGACGCGGACATAACAGTCACCCTCGCTTGAGGAGGATCATGTGGGTTTAGTGTGCTGGCGGCTTTTGTTTACGTACGACATATGTCAAGAATTGTCTTGTCTTGCGACTGGCAGAGGGCTACCCAGATCGCACAACTAACGCAACACGTCTAGGCTCCGACACGAAAGTAGCATAAGCCTTGGTTTTACGCGAGTGCAGCTTCCCGTTTGCAGCAGCAGCCTGCTTAAATGTTGATCATTGATTCAAATCAATGCTGTTTCAACAGTCACATCCAAGAACGGCTGCGCAATCAGGGAGGACCGTCTGCTGAGGCTGCCACTGTGTTTAGTACTGCGAAGACCGTGATTACGATGTACACGATCAGACTTACGAGGGCCACGCGGGAGACGTCCCAAAGGGGCTGCAGGCAGTCATCCCAGCTGACACCGTTCGTGATGGACAGGAACAGTGTCAACATGGCCTGCGGGACGCTGGACCAGAACCTCATCAGCTCTGGGTCGCATTTCTGCGGAACTTCAGCGTGTGTTAGAGCTCTGCAGTGGTCCGTGGCAATCTGCGTGTTGAGGACGCCAAACAGGTAGAAAAGGATCACAAGCAACAACGATGTCCAGAACACGGATCCCATGGTGCTGACAATGGAAAACACGATGGTGCGCAAGGCACTGAGGTACCTGGGCCGCTGTTAAACGACACCCGATGTGCTTCAGCAGCGTCAACAACTGTGCGGAGTGATGTACCATCGTTACGTCAACAGACAATTTTGTGCAGCACACTCTCAAACACTGTGCAACGGATGCCCACTTGGCTGCCTGACCTTGCTACGGCAAATACGTTACTAAAAGACATGTTGGGAAACGGGCCTACATCCTCGCCTAGCTCGGGAGCGTCTGCAAGCCAACAGGGCGCTCCGGCGATAAAACAAACACCCTGCAAAGGAGAATTTGTACTGGCAGGGAATCCAAAGCACTGCAGCAGGCGCAGCACGCGCACTCCGCGCAGTGCGCGTGCCATTCGAAGGAAACCTCACTGTTGTGTTCAGGTGGCGATGCCCCATTGTTTGCAGCAAAAAACACACGTTCAAAGTGTTCATGGCGACGTCAATGGCTTATAGTGGTTCTTGTGCTCTGTGCTGCTCATTAGCAAAGGAAGAGGAACTGGGAGGAGTGGTTGATACGCTGCTCCTGATGCGGTAGCAGCTGACTCTGTGGTGCTGCTGCTGATTAGCGCGCAGGAAGACGAATGATTGTCGTGATCACAAGATGTCAGTCCTGCTCACGTCAAGATCACAATGGCACTGATGACATCGTGAATGCCGGTGATGATGGCGGTGATTGTGCTGATGATGATGGTGATGGTGATGGTGAATCGCAATGAAGATGACGGTGGTGATGATGGTGATGATGGTGATGATAATAATGATGATGATGATGATGGTGAAGACAAGATGAAGAAGCAGAGCATGGTGATCATGAGGAGGATGAGGCGGAGGAGGAGGAGGAGGAGGAGGAGGGTGTCGTGGATGCTGGCACAGCGTGTACTTGGAAGGAAAAACCGAGAGTTGTTCATTTTACCATATATGTGCTGGCTACTATAGGATTGTCGCAGTCGCCGTCGTCATGGTAGTGGTAGCGGTGATGGTCCGATCGCACGGCTGGTGGCAGTGGTTTAGTAGGCCTGGGGGATTGTCAGCAGTCCTCGTTACCACAAAAAGTATTCCGCAAAATGGACAACCAGAAAATTGGTCATATGCCAGCTCGGGACACTTTAAAGGACTCTTTCACACTGAGGCATTGAAGCCCAAACCCCAAAGTCACATGCCCATACCACCAAACCAAACCACAAAGCCGGCAACCCGGAGGGTATCCCAACTGTCCATCGACTTTCCTAAGAATTCACAGGATCGAGAGGCGCATCGTGCGGAGCTGTGTCGGATCCATTTGCGAGGCAAACCTCAGGATTCTGCTGCACTTGGCGAACTGCGTGAGCCCTTCGCAACGAACCCTCGCCTGCCTACTTATAGTGCGTGCGACTGAGTGCATGTGCGTTGGCGCACTCCACAACTGGAGCGCAATAGGGGCCTAGCACGTTATACTCGCTACTTTGCAGCAACATTTACGTGTGCAGGAAAAGTCGTGAGCTGTTTCTGTCGGGTGAGAATCTGCCGTAGCTGGAACCCCTCACGACCCGCAATTCAAGAGCGAGTGCGAAACTGGACTAGCTAACACATGTCTGTGGAGAAGCTGTTGATTTTCTCACTCCTGCTCTTGAAAAGATCAATTAAACAGGTACACGGCTGCTCCCCATCCAGAATGTACCTGCCAAGATGCACGACTGAAGCCATTGCCTCACCCACAATCTCGAAGACAGACATCGAGAATATCAAGAGGTCCTGACTGATTCAAAGGCGGAACTTGGACGAACTGACATGCAGGAACCTAGATGATAGCCGAGGCTGCGGGCATGCTTCCAGCCAGATCTTCTACAAGCCTCCTTTAAGTGAGGGCGTTCGCGCAATGCAAGGAGCAGGCGCCCGAAGCTTTCAACCCGTTGATTCAGCAATGCTAAGTTGCAGCCCGGCAGGTCGGCTGAGGCAAAAACGGTTAGTTCCAGAAGCGTTTGGGACGGAGCATCTGTCAGCAGCTTTTCCCAAGCTCTCTTGTTTTGGGTATTGGGGGCAGCCAGGGGGTGGGTCGTTGCACTATGGGCGCATGGAGAACTGAGGATATCCAAGACCTCCTCGCTCCGAGAAACATGCGTCGGAGCGGCTGACCAGTTCCACCACCGGTCTTTCCCAAAGTACATCATCTTGCCTGGAGGAAGAAGGGGACCAGACGGGCCAATTAAGGTCTTTCGACCTACGACCTATAAGACAAAGGCAGGCAAACGAACCCTAGTCACCAACACGACATAATGCTACGTTGCTGCGGCTACAGCAACACTGGAGAAGCAGGCGGTTGAAGCTCTGTCTCGACGACATATGTACAGCTGCATGAACACATGCGTGTGAGGACATGTTTTGTGAGCACAAACATGACGGTATGCCGGCATGCACAACCTCATGGCCAATGCTGCGATTGTCGCAAGCGTGACAACTGTGTCACCGACCTGACGTATTGTCAAATCTTCGGAAATCCAGAAACCTCGAGCTCGCAAGTGCAGAGCAAGTGGCAGCCATATGCATGCAGCTTAAGGAGGATCTCACCGAAGAAGAAACACACGATGACAATGTTCCTGAGAATGTCACTGTAGGCTGTGGGGCGGCTGCTGCTGCGACCGACAATAACTACAACTGCACCTAGAACTACTGCTACGACGACGACTACTACTGAGACCACCACCCCACGACGACGTTGTCGCGACGACGAAGGCGACGACTACTGCCAAGACTAGCCAAGGCTCGGAAAACAGTGCGAGCTCCGCACAGATGTGCCGTTACAGTTACGAACATACTCCGATGCGATGATTTCAATTCAGCACTACATTCATGCATCCAAGACAAAAAGATTCAGAACAGTCTGATAAGATATGTCATGCAAGCTGGCCGCACAATGATTGATGGGATGTCTAGACCTTCGGAACCCGGGCAATCATGCATTACATGTATGTAAGCATTTCCAAGCTTTGGCGGCTTCGACATCAGCATCTTTACACTGCTCTCATGAATCCGCACTTTCTCAAATCCGAGGTGCGCAACCTGAAATGCCTCGATTTGGGCATTGGGCGGCAGCTCCGCAGACATAACCACCTGAGCGGGATCTCAGGGTTTCGGCTTCCACCCTGCCGTCTCAAGCGTTCATTGCGTACATGCTTTATGTACACGTGTCCACGGAGATGTTGTCCTTATACTACTCCCCACGACCTCGTTTTATGGACACAGGTCTGCTCGGGGTTCGAGTGCAATGCGAAAGTCTTGAGGCCTGAGAACCGTAGAGTAGCGCAGAAGGGGTATTTGCCTCCTCTGCCTCCTTGAACCTCGAAGAGCTCACATTTCCGACATGTTCAAGGCTCTAGATACCATGGTCTGCTGGCTCAGTGCCATGTTTGGGCTTGCAAATATCGGAACGGATCTCATGAGGTATTGCGATGTCATGAATCTGGTCCCTCTGCCCTGGAAACATCGCCATGGAAAGAAGTTCGCAGGCGTCAACCTACTCTTCGCCACTGGGAAGACCGAGAGGTCCCGAGAAAGGCCGAGAAAAAAGGCTTCGCATGGCACCTCCACGCCCAGAAGTATCAGGTTCGTGAGGATCACAATGGGAACGCCCGCCTGCAGTGCATCTTAGACTGACGAAGTGTGCTCCCTTCGGTTGCGAAACTGAAAGCTTAACTGCTTCATGGGTGCATCGGCCGATGTTTTTTGGGGAAGGGGTCCTTCAACTTGACCCGGCTGATAGAAAAGAGGCCGCAAAGAAGCAAAGGTGGGCCCCTGGGTGCCTCCACCCACAGTGTTAGGGACAGAACAGACAACATCCCGTCGAATGGCTTTAGTCCCAATACTTCGAAGGCAACGGCCAAAGCCAGACCACTTCAAATCACGATGCCGCTTATGCCGATCACAGGCTAGACCACCCTGAGAAGGGGAGGCCCTGTACCTATGCATGTCGCTGGCATGGACAGCATGCGCTTACAAGCGGACAGCTCTTTCAGGCCTGAAACAGCTTTTCTTCATATCCCGAAGCCTGAAACAAGAAATCGAATCTGAAATCGATTGGAAATTTTGCCTTCCCCTGGCCTTCATGCCAGAATCCAAGCGAAACCCCTACGGCCATGGAATCTCTAATCGACCGCAGGAACCATGGCGACTCGTTTCTCAGACAGGGAACTCGGAATGCAGATGACCGAACTGTTCGCAGCGACCAAGACTCAGAGAGTTTCGGATCATCCATTTCGCCTGGCGGGTTTTGGGGGTGTTTTAAATGTCAATGTCACCCATGCCAAGAAGAACCTTAATTTTATGAACCGCTTCATGAAACCTTTCCAGGAGGGTGGGATTAAGATCTGTGGACTCGTACTCACATTGAAGAGTCTTTTCTTGGAAGCACCAAGTTCGGCCGAGGTCTACACAAGCGCAAACGCGTGCAAAGTAAGGAAGAGCACGGATGCTGCGGCTCCATTGCTACACACAAGACCTTCAACTTTACAGCATGCTGTAAAAACTTGAAGCCTAGGGCCGACGGCACCATCCCTTGCAGCAACTTGTCGCCACGATAGTAGCAGTCTGACTACCCGGTCCGACCAACCGGCCACTACCTCCACTACAAGGACGTCCAGTTATGGTACCATGTCGCTTGCGACAGACGCTACAAAGCCAGCGTTGCTCATCGAGGATCAGGTCTCATCCTGTTCGGATGCTGGTGTCATCCCTGCATCGAAATTGCATGCCTCGAAGCCTCTCACTAGTATCGTAGTGCTAGATGGCCGTCAACTCCGCATACTGTGACCTTTTCGCTCTGTAGTGGAGCAGCTACAGGGTACAGAAGACCTTGCTTGGCTGGATAGAGTGATTGTCTTTGACCCATCTGAATCCACCGTGGCAAACCGGGATTCTCCAAAAGACTCTCGAGGCCAACCCGACAGAAAGTAGCCTTGTGGTAACCCTCACAGGAGCTCTTGTGGTAACCCTTAAAGGCGCCCCCTGCAGTAACCCTTATTTGAGTCCTTGTTGTAAACCAAACCTTATAGAGGATCCGGATAGTAACCCGCATCGGCCTACCAAGCCCAACGAGGATGCCCCCCTGGGATGGGATCGGCGTGATCTTTTCAGGTGTCTTGTGAGACTACACGGGACATTCGTTTCGAGTGGCCCTACGTTTAAGCTGTGGGGCTTCGGAGTGCAGGTTTCATTGCTTGCTTGGTGCTGTTACTACAATAGACCGTGCTAGGTGTGCGGTGGCTCTCGTCACCTTGAGCGGTGTTTGTCTTGGGCGCAGTGCATGGGAGCGGCTGCACCGCAACGACGGCGCATGCAAGAATCGAGTAAAACCCAAGGCTGGCATTGCAGTTCTGGCGGCTTATTGGGGGATTAGGTACGGCCCTGAAGCCTGGAGTGCCTGAGCCAGCAGCATCGGTACCTTGGAGCCCTGCGGGTTTTTAAGAACCCCAAGCAGAAAAGACAACTTGAGTCGGGTGCCAGCATAGCACATCACAAAGACAGCTTTCAGTGAGACTCCACCCGCAGATTATCATGCAAGGGCTTCGAAGTCCTTGCGCACTTGCTCTCACGATTCTCTCGATATTGGACCTGCTTCTGACTCTACTCCTTAAAGATTGAGCGGAATTATGGAAACTTCAAGAAATATCAATAATAATAAGAATAGTAATAGCAATAGTAACAATAATAATCATACTAATATAAGAATAGTCGTAATAGTGACCCTAACGCTGCTCATCGAGACTGACGCCGGTCACATGAACCCAGATACCCACGGAGCTCAGAGATCTTCTTGGCGGCCGCTTGGGCCTTCAAAGGCCAAAAAAGGCAAAGTACTGAGCTGAAGAGCTGTAAACATTTTTCTTCATGCACTTTTCGGCACTTGCATGTGATCCGGGCATGGAAAAAACGTATTGTGGCGGCAGGGCAATGGCACAAACTGGAAGGGCTTTAACACTTTAACCTTGCTTCGAGGTGTCGGCTTTGAGCACCGGCTTTTGACTTCGCTTGGCCATGCTGTGCAGGACGCACCAACGACCTTCGTTACGATCTCTGGCTGCTGTCAATTCACCAACTGCTTGTAGCACAGAGCGGGCCAAGGGAGGAGTAGATCTCTTAGCTTGGGCTTGAAGCTTCGGCTTTCGTTTCCCAGTTTCTTGGGTGAAGTCCAGGGTGAACTCCGATCCAACCCTCCCCACGTGCCTTCCTCCTAGAAGCACGGAAATCACGATGCCTCGGAAAGGATTGTTGAGGCATCATCGAGTTACTCGTTGATCCTAGCGGGACCACAGCACTGAAACCACTGAACCTTGCTATCAAAACTACCCTCGTGACGTGCACAGTCGCATCCTTTGCCATCTCATGTCCACAATACCCTACATGACTCCAACACCCACGGTCTGGTCAAGGGACCTACCAACAGCGACGAGCGCAAGAGCCAAAGGAGTCGACCATCCAGAAACTGGCATGCCGCTGCTATGGGGCAAAGCCCTGAATGCCCAAGTCCTGTCCCAGGCACTGGTAGATGGAGTCCCAAGAGTTGGTGCTGCTGACATTCTTCTCTGGGGGTGCTGTTGTTGTCACCGGAGGTTCCTGCCATGGGCACAGCTGCCATGGGCACAGGCGCATCCTACCCATCCGGGGAGTGATCAGTTGGTGGTGGACTGCAAGGTCTCTCTAGGAAGCAAGGTCGGGTCTCGTGCAAAGTCTCGGGGGTTCAGTTGCCGGAGCTGGGAGAAGTTGGGGCCCTACGGCGCCACGATTGTGCGGCTTTTGGTGCGAGTTGGAGGTCTCCGTGGGGTTATACTTGAAGCGAGACCTAAGGTTTCTGGCGCAAGGGCCGGGCGATCTATCAAAGGCCGTGGAGGTGGCGATGGTGGTGAGTATTCATACTCGCAATTGCTGTTCTTGTGGAAGCAGCGGGTGGAGCACTACCCGTCATGGTCTTCGCCATATTCATGTAGTCATTGTCATCATCTGAGACGATTCTAACTGACTCAGTCCGGGAGTAGACATGCCATGTCTGACCTCTGCCAACGCCACAGAAGGGTTGTTCTCTGTTGCGACGGCTGGCCGGTCTGTTCCGGGGCAAGTTGTTATCCATTCAATCTACTTTATTCCTGGAAGGGTTGGGAGCGCAGGTAGCTCCCAATGACAGAAGTATATTCACAGGCAAAGGCAACCCCATAGCCAAGAACAAACCGAATGCTGACGAGATGCTCTGCTGGCTGAACGAGATGCTGTGCTGGGCTGAAATTTCATCCTGGAGTGCCAGGATTCGGCAAATTGTCAGCACAGGAGGCATTGTTCCACACGGTCAGAGTCTTGCTGCATCTATGTCTCAATGTGTCTCTGCTTTGCTGCTCCGGTGTATCAGCTGCTTGCTTCTCTTCACCCGCGCTCGACAAAACGAAAACTTGTGACATGGATTATGACTTGTTACGGCCTGAAATGAAACAGTTGTTCAAAAGAGCATGGACTGGAACCCGAATCTGCGGTTGAAATGGTAATCCAAACCCTCAATGCTTGGGATTGCTCATGCAAGGAATTGAAAGAGGCTTCCATATTTATAATTTATACTAGGCCATCACGAACGAGTTGCAAGAAAAGCTTGTTAGACGATGCTGGTGGGCAACCTTTCCTAAGGGCCTCGCACCCTTTTTACAAGGTGGCCAGGTCATAATACGAGTATAACACATTACATTCCTGCTGAATGCTGGCTTTGTGATGCTCGTTTCAGTCGAGCAGCCCCAACGGCAACGACTGAACGCCGAGTGAATCTGCCTCTGAGGAGACGACCTGAAATTCTGAGATTCAGGGGATGTGCCCCAAACTCCGGATACTTTGGGTGCGTCGTTCACAAATTAAACAATCAGCCTTCCTTCACCAACATCGATCGCTGTACGATATCTCCACTGGGGCTCTCTTCCGGCAGTTGTAGATAGCAGTGTTGTGTTGGACGGAACAATGGGAAAAGGTTGACAAAGCTCGAAGTAAAATGGGATTTTCGCGCTTTGCAGCGGACTTTAGCGAGACACCAAAATCGTGGCAGCGATGGGTTGAGGAACCGGGAGAACATTCAAATAAGACTGCTCCTAGATCAAGAACATTTGTCTGACTGTGGCCACGAGACAGTTGACAGCCTCCTCGGCATTTCTGCATCTGTCCTGACAGTCACTTGGCGTTCATGTTCGGACAGTAGTCGCCAGCAGGAACCAAAAAGCTATTTCTCACTGGTGCTAGCTGCAGTCCCGCGCAGTCACGAACAATAACTTGTCCCCACAATCCACTCCGGCAGACATGATTCAATTGTAGACTGCTGGTCTCTTGAGCAGGTTCATGTATTGAGAGCGTGGGAGGGTGTATGACAGCTCACCTAGACTAGACTGACATGTGCACAGGCATTGGCCGTAACATGGAAGCTAGATGTGCGCAAACAACGTACGCATATGCAGACAATTCGTACACCACTGCAACATCCACGAAACAGCATGAAGCTGCAATAATGGTGATGAGGAAGAAGATGCTAGTGAAGATGAACATGGTGATGGTGGTGGTGATGATGCAGGTGACCATCAACATGCTCATCAGGTTCGTGGTCTCATGAGATGTGTCAACCGATGATGTATCAACCCTCACACCTTGGATGCCTGCAAAATCGGCATCGTGCCAAGAAGCCATTTCGGGGTTACGATGCCGTTTGTTGCACGACTAAGCAAAGCGAGCTTTACGCCACTTGCCCCTGACCTGTATGAGCAAGTCACAAAGCTGTGTCGACATCAATGCAAAATGCGGATGTACTACGAGCAACTACGTGGTCCATGGCAGGAGCCGCAAACTTAGCAGTAGATGCACTGCAAGAGGAAACAAGCCGCGAGTTCTTTCGGTGCGAAATTCGCTCGGATGAATGCCTCCCCCGACTTGTAGGAACCCCGGGGTCACGACATGCACATGAACACGCTCCTGACGTGACGGATGCCCCGAGCTCCAAGAGAGTGTTTGCCGGCCAGCTCCTCCTTGAGCGTCTCCTGGAGCTGAAATTGTCGGGGTCGGCATGGGTTTCTGCGTGTATGGCGAAGTACGCAGTAGATGAAGGATCTGGAGACCAAGAGCAAGAGAACCGGGAACTCCCGTTATCTCCCGTTTCCTGTCTAGAAGTGCACCAAGAATCAAGACTCAGCCGAACCCCATAGCACCTGCTCGTCACGAAGCCCCGACGATCATAGTCACGTACTGTTGGAATTAGAACGGTTATCCGATTGCAAGAGTCAGAAAGCTTGGTATAACGCTCTGAGAGAATCTCTACACAAACCGCCGAGATGCGACAAGCCTGACAGCACATGTGCATAAGCCACGGAGGCTTGCCTAGGATCTCAACAGATACTTGTAAATTGAAGGTGTCCTTGACTGTGGATATCATCTGCAATCCCACGTCCCGAAGGAGAGCATTCTGTTTGGCGAACTCAACCTGTCGAGAAGACCATGTCGTCGTAAATTCGGTCTTGAGCTTGTTAGCACCGGGACAGTCATGGCTATTGGTTTGGGACATACGGCTATATGCCCGTCGGATTTCGAGAGCTATCTCTGGACCTGACAGTTTCCCACCACCCTCTCTCCGGCTCGAACATGAGGAAGAGACAACTTGCAAGCGCAGGACATTGGACTGGATGGTTCGATAGCAAGAAGAAGAGTACCAGCAGCTAAGAAGATCGCGAAATCGCCCTGCACCCTATTACTATAATTACTATTATTACTATTATGATTTTTATTACTATTATTACCATTATTACTATTATGACTGAATCACCGATTTTTAGCCAAACCTCCGAATCCGGGTTGCGACCTCCAGGAGCACCTGCCAGCCGGCCCTGCGCAGGCGAGGAAATTAGGTCCAAGTACCCAAATAGTAGGGTTTCAAGGCCCCAAACCCATTCAGTGTATGGATTTTGGGACCTAAAGCCTTTCTGTTTGGGTACTCGGACCCTCTGGGTAAGAAACCCACTGAGGAGCACCGAGTGCACTCAAGCCCTCCGCAACTCCGCGACGAGCATCGGAGTCCGGAGATAGAAGGAAGTTGCTATAATAAGGAATCCCCACATTATATACTATAGATCCCTATATTATACTATATATTATGGTAACTTCAATAATAAGACATACCTGTGCCGGCCGGGCCTAGGAAACGGACCTTCGGCTGAATCAGCTGATTGCACGAGGCTCTCTTGCTCATCCATCATGTCCGGAAAGTCGTGATCCATGGCTGCCATTTACACTAGAGGCTCCGGAGACAAGCTCCGTTCCTGCCACGGAAAGACCTTGTACGTTGCTGGCTGCTGTTTCTATGTCAGAGCCTCTGGCCTTGGGACGGTTGCGTTTGCATTCCTCAAAAACTTGCGCATACGAAAAGGTACTCAGGCAAAGAGAGATGCAGCCCATTGGGAAGCTGGATTCATCGAACAGCGCTTGGCGCTAATGCTGAGCCAAACATGAATGCCGTGCATGCCAAGATGTTCAGGAGAAGTGCCTCGTGACCCCCACCAACCTGATAACCTCTCCCAGCTCTTACGGGCCTTGTCTGTGTCGCATGCTTCGAGGCTTTAGGGCAGGAAAGTCACTGGATCCCTCCTTCCATACGGAACAGCACAAGCACTTTTCATTAATCGGAATCCAACGACATCCAGGCACGGCTCTTGGGAGCTACGGAACCTTCGGTCGTTGCAGAAGCATGCCTGGCAGCTTTACCTGTCAAAAGCGAGGAAAACATCCACGTAAACCTGAGAATTACACCCTGTCACACCCCTTCTGAGCACCAACGCGGGGCAGCACTTCGCCCTCGGCTCCCATTCTAAGAGCTTCCTGCCGAGTGCAGTGCTGGGCTGCGGCTGCTCGGTACTCATTCGCTGCCCGAGGCATGGTTTTGAGGCCCTGGATGGACCCTGTTGGAAGATAATTCGACGCACCCTTTTTTCAGGGCAAAGTCAGAGTGAGGGGTGTGGAGAACGGCGCTTCACCGCTCCAGGCCGGAGCGGCTCCAAAGACTGCCGCAACATGCCGATGCTGTGCCAAAGGCAGTGAAGGCCTGCGATACACTGTCCACGTCTGCAATGCAAGATCACCTGACTTCAGAGTCTGCACGACGAGATATCGAAGAGCGGAAGTATGGGACTCAACAGGGCATCGCGAATCGTCGCCTGAACCGCAGTGCCCTGGCACCGTAAACCATTGAAGGGAATGATGCTGTTGTTGATGCTGATGATCAAGGTGATGGCGCTGAATGTGACTACCACGCAATGATCACTACAGTCTCGTGAGTACGAACGTAACAGCTATGTACAGTTATACAGGCAGAGAGTCAAGCACATATGCACAACTTACATCCCACGATCAAGGCACATCCGGAAGCTGAAGAATGAGACGATAGCTCGATCGCCTCATCGCCACCCCCTCTAGATTGCGGCCTCCATGGCCTTTGGCCACAAGGCGCTGGAAAACGGCTGGCCTCTAGCGGAATCCATCAAGCCGGTAGCTGCCAGGCACTTCGCTGAGATCCAAACACTTTGTCACGTTGTCACGAACATAAGGCTTTTCTTGTGGTTACCCTTCCGGTCCTTACTCTTAGTGTTGCTAGCGCTGGGCTTCGAATTCGGGGCGCACTAGCGCAACACCTAATCCACAACTCCCCAAGTATAGCAAAGCTTTCGAGGCTTCCATGGTGGCGTATGATTTCATAATTTTCTATCACACTTGCGAAATTTTAACCCCGAGGTTCGGTGAAAATTGTTCCGGAGCGTTGCTTTCGAAACCTGCTCAAAAGGCCCTCAAGATGACTCAAAGGTTCCATTCTGGCGGTTTTTACAGCCTTTCTATCTGCGGAAACCACCAGAGGCATCCCTTGCAGATGAGGCCTAGGGACTATACCCCCGTTCCGTTTTTCCGGTTTGAAGTGTTCTTGAATCTCCATCCGCGCATGTATGTCATGGCTCTACAGGGAGTGTTCACCTAAAGACTACTTAAAACCCTAAAACCACCCTGAGGCCTTGCGGCTCGGTTGTTTGGAAACTCGGCGTCCAGTGACTGGAATGGCATGGAAGGTCTGCCAAACTGCAGATCCGCGAGACCGGGTACAGCGTGGTGCCCAAGTTACCGGGCGAGCCGGGTATAGGCGCGTTCACATGGGGCTCTAGAGCTTTTGGGAATGCGGGTTTGGCATACTTAAACGGTTTGTTCTGAGATGCCTGGGTCGAGTGGGACACTCGGTAACCTGCCCTCAGGCTGCCTGGAACCCAAAACAGACACGCCAGATCCTAGGCCGGACAAATCCTGAACCCTCTCTGAAGGCAGCTGAACCTAGGGCCATGGGCCTTGGGCACCTGGAAGACTTCGCAGAACCCAACTTCGGTAGTTGCCGGTGCATCTGCTTTGGGTTCCGGTGTCGCTTCTGTCGTGGTTTAGGATGGCTTAGGGCTACGAGTCTATGTAGGGGTTGAGTTCAGGGTCCACAAGACAGGTTGAGGCTGGAAGGCCCCAGTGGTGCATAGAAACATTCCGATTTCTCGTGTCTCTGCTCCACCACTTTGTTCTACGACTCGAATATGGCTATTTGCGCGCGGGTCACCTCAACAGTCGGGTTCGACAATTTATGTATGTGAGATATATCTCCAGTTGCAACGCCCGCCACCTGTCACCTCTGCAGAAACCCGCATCTCAACCTGATTAAATAATAATTATTATATATATATAATATTAGAATAAATAAATGTTATAAAAAAGTAACTACTGAGGTTCTGCGAAAAGCTAAAACTAAACTCGGACCGCAGCTCCAAACTCCGACATCAGGGTCGGAATCTCCCGCAGGTAGGCGTGACCTTGCATGGAGCAGCGATGAAGTTCGGGGCTTCGACGAGACGAGCCCAGAATCCTCGAAGTGCCTCGAAATCTTCGGCACCGACAACACCAAACAAAAATCGAAACTCCGTATACTTCAGGACTTTCGTGGGATCGGGCGGGGCAATACCTGCTGGGGTTTGGGGGATTTGTGCCATGTGTGCTGGCGGGTTTTGGGGGCTTTCCATCACTCTGCGACCCGAACTGATGAGGAAGCTGACGTCGCAGAACCACTTGTCTTGCGAGCGAGTTTACCTTCCGTTCCACGGCTTCGTTCCCGTTCTTCAAGTCTTGCACAGACAGAGGGATTGCAACCCACAAGGCAGAAACTGCCAGGGAAACCATATCTCATCACAGGCTCTCAGGCCACCACAACGATGACATGAGTACTGGTGGGACTATGCTGCAGGCTCTGTATGTCTTGCTACTACTACGAAAAGTAGTATCACTTGCTCCACTAAATACAAACCATGACCACCATCGTCATCTCGTCGTCATCATCATCATCATCATCACCATCATCGTCATCACCATATAGTCACATTCAGAAGCATCTTCGACTGAAGCCTTTAACACTGGCAGAGTTGGAACATCTGAAAAATCAACATTACATGGCAGCTTTGCCACTGCCGGCGTGTTGTCCGTCCATGCTGGTCTTGAGCCGCCGCCTTGGAATTCTTACATGTCGCACTGGTCGGCAAGCTTTCGCTGAAGAGCAGTTGAGCCAGAACGGTGTAGTCATATAATGTCATATATACAGGTTGCCGGCACGGCATCAACGGGAAAACCTAAGGCATCGCCAAGCAAACAAGACCGCACCTCAAAGCCTAGAAGGGCAAAGCAGCAAACTCATGGTGGTTCTACTTGCCATGCTTGTATCTTTGGTGCAGGTGTAGCATCTACCGCCGAAATCCATTCGGCATCGTCTAGCCTAGCGGGTGGTGGCTGGGTCGGTCCAGCTCATTATATGGCATATGGCGCTCAAGGACCACTCATGCGAAACGGCCAGACTTCATCCTTCTTTGCAGCAGGAGAAGAGGTCACATGCCCGGGGAAACAACGTTGCAAGGACGATGGACCTGCAGACCACTGCGTGCTGCGCAATCAGGACCCCGAGACACTGCAGCACGTCTCCGGGTAGCTACAGAACTTGCAGGCGCAGAATCTAAAAAGACACGTGCGGAGCAATGGGGTGACTGCGCAACAGAGTACTAGCAGGAACATCCACGGAGACCTTCCGAGCCAAGGCACAGATCCTCCCGCATTGCTTTGATCTCCTTGCGGATGATGGTGCTCTCGTAGCCCATCCGTGCCTCGGTCACCAACATGAAATGAGCATGAATCCTAGACTAGGCGGGAGCATACAACTGTTCCAAGACGAAAACTATTTGACAAGGTTTCGACACCCAGAACAGTGTAGCGGGGCAAAGGAGCCACAAGGACATAACTGGAAATAATTGTCGGTATACTGCAAAGGTTTAGGCCCTAACTGTCTAACAGTGACCTCTCCTGACAGATACTGGCAAGATAAACTGCGACAACCCAAACCTTGCAGCCCCAATCTCGAAAACCCTACCCCCCCAAAGCGCCAAAACCTCTGACGCTGAACTCTCACTGCAAAGGCTGATAAACCCTAAAACCCTCAAACTCAAAACAAAGCTGATCAGCTTAAACCCAAAACCATCAACCATCGAAAACCGCGACCCTCGACCCCGCGACCCAAAATCCTGAAGCTTCAGTGAAAAGTCCGAGCTACGACTTGGAGGCCCTTCGCCGGGCCGGCAAGGTTCATGCAGCCATACCTTGAAGGGTGTAGGGTTCAGGGGTTTGGGTTTTCTGTAGTGCTTGCGTAGGGCTTGGGGTGTAGGGAAAGCGAGCCTTCAGGTTAGGGATAGTGCCCGAGGAGAGTTGTCTTGTCAGGGCTTTGGAAAGGTGTTGCTTTGCGGGAACGTGCCTCAAGACGCTTCGCTGGGTTTGGGCTGTATGGCCAGGTGTCATGGGACAGATTGTGAGAAATCAAGTTTAGTCTTTTCGCCATGGGGGCTCTCTAGGCAATCGTTCCTGAAAGTGGTACCCCTGTCTCGGTAACAGGAAGCCCTGCAGTTAATAACAGAAAGGCAGCATCCAACTTGCAAGCTGAACGACACAAACTCATCGAGTGTAATGTCACCACTGCCGTCTGCGTCGATGCACCTCGGTTCCACGCACACCATCGCTGCACCAACTCAACTATCTGTTCTTTTCGTTGTGGTATCTGGCGAGAGGCACAACAAGCTTGAGCATCCAATGCAAGCTAGCCAGTTTTCGGAGCACAATCGGATCCGGTGCAGTCGCAAAAGTGGAGCGAGGAAGGGTCTGTTTGCGTGCACGAACAAGTCCCAGCACTGCATGTCCTGCTACGCCAGGCCACATGAACAAGGTGACGATGTCATCCGTGGCTATCTCCATCCTCGGCAGCTCGATGGCTTCCTGTGTTAAACAATGATGCGACTAGCCGGCTCACCGGCTCTCACTAGGTGAGCAAGCTCTCTGCTTCTGTCGCGACACAAACTGAATCGGCTTGGAAACATGCCACTTAAACGACCGATTAAGCTCAGCGCGCGTGCATGAAGCTTCGGAGTTTCTGCCGTTGCATGGCTTCCTGGCAGCAGGGTTCTTCAGCATTCGTGCGGACCAGACTGCGACAGGCACTCGCGAAGATACACGTCAACTATGCACTGCGGCCAAGCGTAGGCTCTCTTTCCCTGGTGGCGAAACTGGCAACCGAAGCTATGATAGCATATTATAGCATATTATAGTATATTATAGTATATTATAGCCTATTATAGTATGTTAAATAAAGGTATATGAATTGCAGAATTGCTTGGAGAGCCTGAAACCCGCAGGTGACCTCCTGCAGCCTGCAAGCTGACAGCCCTAAAGTAGTCCTCAAAAGCCCACGTCGCCCCAAAAGCCCCCAATGTAGGGGCCTTAATAATTAGAATAGGGTTTTGGGGACCATGATACTATAATTGTAATAAGGAACCCCCAAAATAATAATAGGTAGTTATTAAGGCCCCTAAATTAAACCTCGAAGGATTCTTTTGGGAGACCACAAGAAGCTCGAAGCCTTAAAAGCTTCACCGCCAATTTCGCCAGCAATCCCCTAAGAAAAAAGGGGCCTTGATACTTACCTATACTATTTCGGGAGGTTCCTTACTTTAACTATGGTCTCATATACCCCCGAAACACTATGCTAAAATTATTCAGGGCCCTTCTATGGTCTCATATACCCCAAAGTACTCTAAAAATGATTCAGGGCCTTTCTTCCAGTAACCGGCTCTACTATTTTGGGGGGTTCCTTATCATAACTATAACTATAATCTCATATACCCTACACTATTCTAACTAATAAGGCCTTTGGGGGTTCCTTATTATAACTATGACTATAATCTCATATACCCCAAACACACTATTCAAATTTATTCAGGGCCCTTCCAGTAACCGGCTCTCCTTCAGATCGTCGAGGCCGATGACCTCCTGACCTTCCTGCAGCCAGGAGCTGCCAAAAAAGGGCTGTATTAAACAAATTTTAAGCTGCCATAATAGGGATCTATAGTAATATCATAGGGGTTTAGGGTTTAGGGTTTGGGGTGTTTAATAAGTAGTTTGGGGTTCATGGGGTTTAGGGTTCAGGGTTTCGGTTTAGGGGTTTAGGGTTTAGGGTTCAGGGTTTAGGGCTCGATAGTGCTGTAGTCAGTGGGGTTCGGAGTTTGGTGTTCTTGTGATCGGATCTGTTCCATCAGCCTACGAAGTGTCCAGAATACCTTTGATGTAGCCAATCTTTACACACAACCCAACCATCATGACACATGCTGTTACCATGCATCCCACCACGCCTCAAGCTTCAAGGGTTGGGTTTTGGCGCGTTGGAGTTAGATTCCTGGGTTTAGCCTTCAGTGGCTTGCGTCCGCATACTCATACACGCATGCTGCATGCTCATGCCCATGAAGATATCTAGGCTCAGTCAGTAGCTTGAATAGTCACGACGGAAAAAATGTACATGACCGTACATACAATTCAAAGTACATGCAAGCAATGCAAGCACACGCAAGTGCATAGCAAGTATGGGCATTAGTTATTATACTATACTATACTATACTATACTATACTATACTATACTAGACTCTATTTTAAATAAAGGTGACGTCAGGTTAAAGCACGGTACGTTGTGCTGGCATTGACATTAGCTTTGGCATTACCATCAGCATTAGCATTGACTCTGACTGGCCGTTGCATTCGCAATACATTACATTACATTGCAATGCAATGCGCTACATCACAAGGCATTATTACAGTAGTGCAGTTGTACAGTACTACGTATTACACTGGTTACTCTGCTGAATTGTTATACGATGACATTGATGCATTCTGGCAGTTTTCAACTATTACATTTACGAGATTGCTGGGTTATCACATTATTAAAGTATTGGAGTAGTGCAAGAAAAAGATTACATTATGACAGCGCTTCAGTACTACATTGTTACACTATTACGTCATTATTGTATTTTGGCATACATACAGAATGCATACACACAACGTACATACATGCATACAGTACCTCCATGCGAATAATACAACAGGGCATACGCAAAACATGACATGTAGGGTCGTGCAAACACTGACAACTTCTCCGTTGTCTTTAAACCACTTGGTGCACCTTACAAGCTGAAACCTAAACCTGGAACAGAAAGTCTGAATCAACGGACGAGGTCAAGGTCTCATGGTCACGGCAGGCACCGGTCCGTGTTGATTTCACGGAAGACTTCACGCAAAGCCTCCACTTGCGCCTGTTCCGTCGAGCGTCATGCTACATGCTGCTGCACTAGGAGAGCAAGCAGGCCAAGCGAAATCAATACCATAGTAAGAATACTAACCGACGGGAATCTCTGGTAAGGTTCGCAATAGAGTCATAATCACAATGATAGAAGAAAAATCCCAACTTACGATTATAAGACTGCTGGGCACCTCGTGCTTTTGCATTTGCTGCATGGTCGCGATGTCCTTCCGTGCAAAAGCCAGGGTCAAGGTACAAATGCATTGGAAGTCGAGCACAATGTACCTTCTCATTCGAAGTGTTTTGAGTTTGTGTCATACCGAGTTCAGAAAGGCTTCCCGGTTCAAGTAACGATGCTCTCATTCACTGTTGCTGGCGAAGAAGCAGAACTGCGGCAGAAAGCAACAGCCCCTAAACTCTAAACCCAAGTATCCAAACTCCAAGCCGACTGCAATTCAACATCAGTTCACTTAACACACCCCTGACGACCCCCCCTGAAAGAAAAAGACGGCCCGCGGGAACGGCAGTCCTTGTCTGCTCTTGCACTTTCTATCGCCATATTGCAGAAAACTCCGGTTACCTGAAATATTGAAAAAGAGCCAATTTCCAAGATGAAGCAGAAGAGAACACGTCGTCGCTGTCAGATCGTAGAAACTACGTCTAGTTTGTGCTTGAAACATGATGATGCTGCTGCAATGACTATACCAAGAAACAAGGCGTACCGAAACGCATGTAGCAAGAGGCAATGCGGAAAGCATTACTGTGGTCAGAACTGAAATGCACGCCATGCACCCGCAGCCCAACACCTCATAACATCTGAGGCCGAAACAACATTCAGCACGGCCAGAACCGTAATGACCTGAGCTCGATGTCCACACAGTTATTACCGGTCAATGTGTAAAAGCTCGGCGACACAAGCCAAGAAAGCCAACCTGCGCTCCCTCTACGTTGTGAAGCAATGGCCCACACTCCGGTTGCTGCGTGCTCCAAGGCTCAGAGCTGTCTTTACGAAGCCGCAGACCGAAAACTCCGAATGTTCGTTCCTGATTGGTTTTGCTTTACGCGACACAGGTTGTTCTGGCACCGAACACAGTTTTTACAAAAAAACTTGCTGAGCCGGGTATTGTACTGCACTCGGCCATGGCTTGAGGAAAGGATGCCACCTCCACTCGACGATTGACCGACGGCATAGATGACAAGACAGAACGCAAATGTGTGAGCACACCAATCTGTCGGCTTGTGCTACAAGCTTCAATGAATGGGAGGCATCAATGTGTCTTTGCAGTGCGGACACTTTCCCAAAGCTCGTCCCAACAGCAAGGTAGGTCTTGCAGCTAAGCGTCAAGTTATCCGATGCGATGCTGTAGCTTCAAAAACGTGTCGGAAATTGAACTTCCGCCGAAAATTTCTGCACAAATCTGCGATCGAGTGGGCTTTGTGCGGTGCACAGTGTAGAGACAGAAGAAACAGCCGTCACAGTGATGCAGCAACTCTCGAGCCTGAGCCTTGTTGTTCAGTATGAACCGATACCGGGCGGCGATGTAGATGAGGAGGCCGACAACGGCGATGTCGGAGATTTGTCGGAGAGGCTGTAGGGCCTGGAACGCTCTCAGATTGCGCGGCAGCACGACTGATATGGAATGGGAAGCTTGCTATGTTGCGGACAAGCTTCGCCCTTTGCCTTCAGCTACACAATCATAAGCTAGGAACTGTGGCAACTGCTTCAGCATGCAACGGCCCTTGGAAGGCTTGAGGGGCTTTCTGCCCGGCGCATGGGAGGAGTCTGGCCTACAGTCTGTAGTTTAGGGAATCCTGAACTCTCACCGGCTAAACTCTGAACTGCAAAAGCACCAATACCTTCTGCAGCTGCCTGGTTGCTTCCAGGTAAGGTCGGTGGCTTTGCTCCAACTTGTGTCTTGCGACTAGAGTGCTTCGTCAAGGCGGGCGGTGTCAATCAACGCACTCTTGCAGTGCTGCTGTGGAGCACTGCACCGTGCAGGTGTATCCTGCCTCATCCCAGCTGATGCCGTTGGTGATGGACAGGAACAGCGTCAGCATGCTCTGTGGAACACTGGACCAAAACCCTGACAGCGAGGGGCTTTGGCAAGCGGCCGCAAAGGAAAACTTCAACAACCCAGAGCCACCTAGCGAAACTCAGACACTAGGGCTTCGGGCTTGGTTACGTGTTCAGGCTTTAAGAATTGAAACGGTCCACTTTCCAGTGCCACGATCAGACAACTGTGGAAGGCAATGCTGCTTTCCAACATCCTGCCTTCACATTCAGACAGAACCCAAAAAACACAACTCTAAGACCAGCAACACCTGCAGTCATTTGCCCTCCACGCGTTCCCGGGATTGGCTTCCGTCCATAGTTCGAGTGACTACAGTTAATACATTAAGGGATGCCAGTCGTGTGGTGCCGATTCATGAGAGTAGGCTGCCATCAGTCTCTGGCTCCGGCCACGGTAATGACAAGTGCTATTGGCAACGCTCGCAAGGCGAGTCTCTTACTTACTGGGGCCTTGAAGACCGCTGCTGGGTCTTGCTGCTCGCTGGCTCTTGCTTGCCCGAATGCTTAATTCCCGGTGAAGAAGCGCTGCAAAAGGACAATCACGGAAGAGATCGCACAAAAGCTGGCAGCTTTTTGAGTGTTACGAAATGAAACCAAAACTCGTAATTCTGTGGTTTGTACCATGAAACACATATGACTCGAAACATCAGCACAGGCACGGTTCAACTGATCGTCGCAGGAGTCTCCACTGGTGTACTTCAGATCTCGGCAGTGGTCTGTGGATATCTGCGTGAGCAAGACTCCAAAGAGATAGAACAGAACCACCTCGCAGAGAGCATCGGAACAAGAGTTTTCGGACTGAGTCCTGTCCAGCCCTGGTGACCAACATTCAAGATGCTTTTAAAAAATGTATGCTATAATAAATCATATAAATACCATAATGTACATCTCAACTGCAGTCGTAGACGCAGAAAGCAATTTGTACACATGTCTCAGGTGCAAGCGCAAGTCAAACTCCAAAATGACATCCCAGTGGTATAATGGGCCTTGCGGATTCTACATGTTCTTGTTACGTGGCCAAAGGTGTGCTTTGCTGTTGTGCTTTCTGCCCCACCAGAAGCAAGGAGGTCCATCCAACCGAGCTCATCGTGCTTACGATGGAGAAGACGATGGTTCTGAGCGCGCTGAGATACCTCGGCACAGGACGCGGCTCGCATGTCTGAGAAACCACGGCCTTATCGACCACCCTGCTACGACGCTAAGACAACAAAGTCCACATGGGGTTTCCGTTTTTAGGGGACCCCAATATAGTACCCTAAATAGTAGGATCCTTATTGTAAGGACCCCAAAATAAGGTACCCTAATTTTCGGAAAGTCCCACATACTCCCGCATAGTTTCGCCCGGTTACCAGAGTCGACCCGGACTCATGCCAGGCACACTCGGACAACTGGCCAAAACAAAACGGTTTAGGGTTTAGGGTTTAGGGTGGTAAGGAAAGCCGCCAAAAAAGGATATGAATCCCTGCGAGCTTGTACTCTGGTCTCTAGCCACCAAAGCCCGCCTGGCTGAAACCAGTCCCTGATACTTTGATCGGCAGCTGGTGGCTATCATTGGAAATGCTCCAACTAACTATTTAAACTCATTAAGTTTAAGACAGGGTTTAGTTTGAACGGACCGGACATGGATCAAGAAAGGAATTAAGAGAAAAAAGGGCCAAAATGGCTCGATCAAAAACACCGGAACTGAATCAAGAAAGGGCCCAGAGCTAAAGGCCCTCGTGGAGTTTGACCAAATCCTGCACCGTCAACCCTGAACCAGACTTTGCCCTTGGTGTCTCCTCTTAGGGCTCAGGGTCATTAGGGCTTAGGGCAAAGGGTTCTTTGGGAAGGAGGCCCGTAACAGGGTCGGGGAGGGAGGCGATAGTTTGGGAAGGAGGCTCAGGGCAAGTGGGGTTTGGAAGGAACGGGGAGGGGGAACTTAGCATGAACTCATCTCTTCGGCGAAGGGTCAAGCGACTCTCCTTTCAAAAGCAGAATCATGCGGCCACCCGTAAGGCATGCAAAATGCAATGCAAAATGCAAAGGTGCTGCAGGGAAGAGCGGGGCCACGGGAGGGGCCCGTTGTGTTTGCAATTCTTTTGGCAAGGTATTTGGGGGAGCAAGCTTGGAGCTATCTTGCATTCCCATTTTTTCTCCTTGCCTTATAAACTAGAGACCCTGACGTGGAAGCCCGACACCTGAAGCACGGAACCCTTCAATTACAGCCAGGCGCTGAAGAAGCCGCACGACTCGAATTCCACGCAGTGCCCGCACGAAGCGGAGGAATCCTCGGAGTCGGTTCTACTCAGGCTTCGCTACATGATCACATATCTGTATGTATATATATATATAGA